ACAACAACGACAACGACAACGACAACAACAACAACAACAACAACAACAACAACAACAACAACAACAACAACAGCAACAACAACAACAACAACAACAACAACAACAACAACAGCAACGCCACCACCACCACCAACAACCACAACATCAACATCAACCGCACCAACAACAACAATCAACAATCAACAATCAACAACCAACAATCATCATCATCATCGACAACAACAACACCACCAACGCCACCAACGCCACCAACAACACCAACAACACAAACAACAACAACGACAACACCACCACCACCAACAACAACAACGACGCCGCCGCCACCACCACCACGAACAACAACAACCACAACCACAACCACAACATCAACATCAACAGCACCAACAAACAACAATCAACAAAAAACAAACACCAAACAACAAACAACCACCAACAACCAACAACCAGCAACCAGCAACCAACAGCCAACAGCCAACAGCCATCAACCAACAACCAACAACCAACAACCAACAACCAACAGCCAACAACCAACAACCATCAACCAACCAACCAACCAACCAACCAACCAACCAACCAACCGACCGACCGACCAACCAACCAACCAACCAACCAACCAACCAACCAACCAACCAACCAACCAACCAACACACAACCAAACAACCAACCAACCAACCGACCAACCGACCAACCGACCAACCGACCAACCAACAACAACAATAGCAACAGCAACAGCACCAGCAACATCAACTACAACAACAAGGTTGCAGTCGCGTAACGACCCTTGGGAAACCCACGCGGAAATACAATTTTCAGCGACCTCGGACGGCCTGCGCCAAAGCTTTGCCGAGCCACCCACCCCACCCCACACCCCCCGGGCAAACCCAACAAATCCATGTGCCTGGTCAGCAAGCGCTACAAAAACGCCGCAGCCAGCTGAGCTCTTCGCCCGCGGCCGCGCTTTGGATTCTCCCGAGGCCCGCCGTCACTTCCCCAGATCGCCCTTGGCTTCCTCAGTCACGTTCTCGGGCTCGGCGGTCTTCTCGTCCTTCTCCTCACCGGGCTCCCTCTTGGATCTCTTGCGCGTCTCCGTCGACGCCGAATCTGCCGCTCTTCTCCTTGCGCTTGACTGCCTGCTGGGCTTTCTTGTCTTTCTTCGCCTTTTTCGCCTTGCGGCGGCGCCGCGTGGAGGAACCTGTGGTAGAACTGCTGGGCGCCTCGCGGCGTGGGGGAGGATCCCGGCGCGGGGCCTCCCCGCCCTCGGAATCCTCCACTTGGCGCCGGCCGATGGAGGGCATCAGGAACGCCTCCAATTTCTCGGCGTTCTTCGGATCTGTGCGCCACGGTCACAGGGCCGTTTCAGGGACCTTTTCCGCCCAGTTCGCCAGGGCGTTGCACATGGTGGCTGCCTCGAGAAGCTGGCAGCAGCCTACCACCATCAGGAACAAGGAACAACAACAAGAACAGCAACAGCAACAACGATAAGGCTACAACAACAGCAACACCAAACAGTGAGAGACTAGCCAAGCTCAACACTGAACCAGAAGCGCTCGACAAAAAGATACACCCGAATGATCATCACGCTTTATCAAACTCAAGCGCTCATCTATTTTTCAGCGCTTCTGCAGCGCCTTCACGAAACGCTTCTCGAGCGAATTACCGAGACAAGTGTCGTTGTGTCTCCAAACCCAGCTATTCGAGTCAATCCAAATCATGGTGGATACAGCTCTGACATGAGTGCGCGTGGACGTGTGTGCTTAACAATGGTCATGGTGGACACAGCTCTGACGTGAGTGCGCGTGGACGTGTGTACTTAACAATGGTTCTGACATGAGTGCGCGTGGACATGCGTGGACGTGCCTCCTTAACAATGGTCAGGGTGGTTACAGCTCTGACAAAAGTGCGCGTGGACGTGAATGCTTATCAATGGTCATGGTGGATACAGCTCCGACAGAAGTGGGCGTGGACGTGTGTGCTTAACAATGGTCACAGCTCTGACATGAGTGCGCGTGGACGTGTGTGTTTAACAGTGGTCATGGTGGTTACAGCTCTGACATGAGTGCGCGTGGACGTGCGCCTAACCATGGTGATGGTGGATACAGCTCTGACATGAGTGCGCGTGGACGTGTGTGCTTAACAATGGTCATGGTGGTTACAGCTCTGACATGAGTGCGCGTGGACGTGTGTGCTTAACAATGGAGGTGGTCATGGTGGATACAGCTCTGACATGAGCGCGCGTGGACATGGTCATGGTGGATACAGCTCTGACATAACTGCGCGTGGACGTGTGTCCTTAACAGTGGTCATGGTGCATACAGCGCTGAAATAAGGGAGCGTGGACGCGTGTGCTTAATAGTGGTCATGGTGGAGACAGCTCTGGCATGAGTATGCGGGGATGTGTGTGTGCTTAACAATGGTCATGATGGATACAGCTCTGACAAGAGTGCGCGTGAACGTGTGTGCTTAACAGTGGTCATGGTGGATACACTTCTGCCATAAGTACGCCTGGACGCGTGTGCTCAACAACGGTCACGGAGGATACAGCTCTGACATGAGTGCGCGTGGACATTGGTCATGGCGGCTACAGCTCTGACATGAACCACTCGATGAAATCGGCGAACCTTCCACGGCGGCGAACGGCCCGATTGGAAACAACAACAACAACAACAACCACCACCACCACCACCAGCACCACCACCACCACCACCCAACAAACAACAACCAACAACAACCAACAACCAACAGCAAACAACAAACAACAAACAACAAACAACAAACAACAAACAACAAACACCAAACACCAAACACCACTTACCAAACACCAAACACCAAACACCAGACACCACACACCACACACCACACACCAAACACCAAACACCAAACACCAAACAACAAACAACAAACAACAAACAACAACCAACACCAACAACACCAACAACGCCAACAACACCAACAACACCAACAACACCAACAACACCAACAACACCAACAACACCAACAACACCACCAACACCACCACCACCACCACCACCACCAACACCACCACCACCACCAACACCAACACCAACACCAACACCAACACCAACACCGACACCAATACCAACACCAACACCAACACCACCACCAACACCAACACCACCACCAACAACAACAACAACGACAACAACAACAACGACAACGACAACGACAACGACAACGACAACAACGGCAACGACGACAACGACAACAACGACAACAACGACGACAACAACAACGACAACGACGACAACGACAACAACGACAACAACGACGACAACAACAACAACACCAACAACACCAACAACACCACCAACACCACCAACACCAGCGACACCACCAACACCACCAACACCACCAACACCACCAACACCACCAACACCACCAACACCACCAACACCACCAACACCACCAACACCACCACCACCACCACCACCACCACCACCACCACCACCAACACCAACACCAACACCAACACCAACACCGACACCAACACCAACACCAACACCAACACCAACACCAACACCAACACCAACACCACCACCACCACCACCAACAACAACAACGACAACAACAACAACGACAACGACAACGACGACAACGACAACAACGACAACAACGACAACAACGACAACAACGACGACGACGACGGCGACCACAACAACAACAACAACAACAACAACAACAAGCCACAGCCACAGCCACAGCCACAGCCACAACAACAACAACAACAACAACAACAACAACAGCAACAGCAACAGCAACAGCAACAACAACAACAACAACAACAACAACAACAACAACAACAACAACAACAACAACAACAACAACAACAACAACAACAACAACAACAACAACAACAACAACAACAACACACAACACACAACACACAACAAACAACAAACAACAAACAACAAACAACAAACAACAAACAACAAACAACAAACAACAAACAACAAACAACAAACAACAAACAACAAACAACAACCAACAAACAACAACAACAAACAAGCGGGTGCTCTTGAGCGGGTGTGCTTACAAATTGCCACACTTGGATACAGTGCTGAGCGGGTGTGCTTACCAAATGCCACACATAAACGCAGCGCTTTACCAATTGCCACACATGGCTGCAGCGCCGGGCGGGTGTTCTTGAGCAGGTGCGCTTACCAGTTGCCACCACGAAAAAAATTACAGCGCTGAGCGGGTGCGGGGTGCTGCTTGACAGTTGCCACGCATAAACGCAGTGCTAAGCAAAAGTTGCCACACATAAATACAGTGCTGAGAGGGTGCTCTTGAGCGGGTGTGTTACCAGTTGCCACACATAACTACACTGCTGAGCGGGTGCTCTTGAGCAGGGTTGCTTACCAATTGCCACACATGGATACAGCGGGTGCTCTTGAGTGAGGGTGCTTACGAAGTGCCGCACTTGGATACAGTGCTGAGCGGTTGCGCTCACCAGGTGCCACACTAGGATACAGTGCTGAGCGGGCGCTTTTGAGCGGGTGTGCGCACCAATTGTCACACTTGGATACAGTGCTGAGCGGGCGCTCTTGAGCAGGTGTGCTTACCAGTTCTGGGCGGGCGCTCCTGAGCGGGTGCGCGCACCAATTGCCACAAATAACTGAGCGGGTGCTCTTGAGCGGGTGTGCTTACCAGGTGCCACACTTGGATACAGTGCTGAGCGGGTGACAGGACATGCTGCGCCACACGGAATGCACATACTTGACTTCCAAACAGCACGAAATGCTGCGCTGGTCACGAAAAACAGGCACGCTCGCACAAAAGCAGAAACGCACGATCCACGGTTTTCCTGCCGTGCGCGCCGGTGCAGTGGAGATGACGTTTTTTGAGCTCCGACATGCACGAAATGCTGCGCCTGCCAACGAAAATGCACCTGCTGTGAGGCAGCTAAATCGCGCGTTTAAGTGGGATTGGAGCCAACAACAACGACGACGACGACGACGACAACGACAACGACGACGACAACGACGACGACGACGACAACAATCATCATCATCAACAACAACACCACCAACAACAAAAAACAACAACAACCTTTTGGTGCCAAAATACCGCCTATGCCATACTCTTTGCTCCTGCTTATATAATCAAGTTATTTTTGTTGACCGCGCCAACCCGCGCTCGGGTGGGAGATCCGAGACGCTCCGGAAGCAGGTCGGGCATGTTGGTGTTGATCCAAACGCCCCCGCCTTGCAAGGCCGGGCCGGATTTGTATATATGGCCGTGGGTCAAAAATATGTGCCCAAAACGGAACCCTGGTAAGTGGAAAAATGGACCAAAACCTGTGGTCCGCTGGTGGTTTAATTTTGACCCATACCCATATATACATAATGTATATATATATACACAAATGAGCGAAGCAAAAGCGGGTTGCCTACTCCAACATGTTCGCTTCTTTTACTTTGTATTTGTCTGTTGCCCATGGGGCATACCTCCTGTGTTAGAGAGTTGACATGATACCCCCAAAAAAGTACTTCGGTACTTGGAGGAGGGGTAACCAGGGGATGATATAAAGTATAAGGCGTGAACATGAGTTGGAAAATGTAAGGTGCGAGTAGAAGCCAACAAAAAATCTCCAATATCGTCTTTCTCCTACAATCATAACTTCGTTTTGGCTTCAAGAGCCTAGGCTGGGCAGCCCGTATTCAACAGCTACATGTATGTACTACAGTATATACCATAATTGAACTCGTGGACATCGATGCTGCCCGCCCTGGTCTGGTTTCCCATGATTGAGACTCCAGCTGCATGTATATACATGCATCTGTGTGTCCAGTATATCTATGTATACACATTCTGCCACGAATGGACTTGCGGTTCGCCAATTGTGGATTGTCCTTCTGGCCCGTGATGTTCTTAGCAACAAATGACAATGCAAATATGTACTACATTGAAGGGCAGCAGAACTGCCAGGTAAAATGCCTTTGAACAAAACAGGCAGGAATGAGTTGCGACTAAAGTGAGCAGGAACAGCACCTTTAGGCACCAGAAACATCAAGCACCAACAGCCTATCAAAACCGCCGAACGAAAAAAGTCATGATCATGGTCGCACAAAATTTGCAAGGGGGGTTCCAGGATAGACTTTGAACGGAGCTAGGTCTTGAAGAGCGATCCTTCCCAGAGGTTCGTTTCCTCGGGACTCCAATGATTTGGTTTGAGCAGCTGCTGTTGCAAAGGTCGAGCTAAGTTTACACTCTCAGTATAGGTTGCCGCTATTGCAGCAAAGATTGGGATGCTGCTTCCCTATGCTTTCAAGTCTGACCAGCTTTTGACATCATACCCACCTCAATGCGAACTTTGATGGGGGACATCGGACGCCGAATTCACGCTTTAAAGGTGAGGCTGCTGGAACATGTGTCATCTTGGCCAGGCAACTTGAACATGCGTGAACAATGAACAATGTGAATGCAACATCGCTCCTAGCCACTATAGTAAACTGCCGTGGGACATCCAAGGACAAATCCTGGGGAGGAAATCCGCGTTGCTCGGAGGAGTACCTACTGCCTGTGAACACGGTGCTAAGTTGGGGTTCAGTGACGCCATCGTCCTTAGAGTCATAAGGATGGCCTTCTTTGGCATTGCAGGAGCCTTCCACTCCTTGGAATGGAACCCAACAAACAACGCATATTCTTCCAGTATCCTTCCTACATTCCTTTACAAGATCAGCCCTACCAAGAGGGAATCAGCTCAAAAGGGGCCAACAAGGTGATGTTGTCAAGCACCAACCAGGGAAATAATAGGGATGTGTATGGGAATGCAACAAACTTGGCTTTTTTGCAGCCCCGTGCTAAACTTGAACTGAACCCCAAAAACAAACATTCATCGAACAACACCCCCCCCCCCGACTTGTTGTTCGAACCCCCCCCCCCGAACAACAAGTCCCCCCCCCCCCCAATTATTGTTCGACCCCGCCCCCAAACAACAAACCCCCCCACCCCTTATCGAAGGGGTATGAGACCAGTGGGGCCCATGGCTCATGAAGCCTACCCGCTCGACTCGAGAAAACAAACAAAGAAGAAAAGACAAGAACTCCCCCGAGGCGCGCTCGTGCCAGCGCTCAAGGCGCTGCTTCAAAGCGCCGAGGCCCACGTCCGCCTCGTGGTTCCCGAAGCAGGCCTCGAGAAACTCAGCGGGGGTCCACCTGATTTCTGGTTCGGAGCCCGGTGGTGTGGCGGTGGTTTGGTGGCTTGGTGGCTTGGTGGTGTGGTGGTTTGGTGGTTTGGTGGTTTGGTGGCTTGAATGTACTTGCTAGTGCTCAGCAGTGATTGAGAAATGGAATGACCCTTATAAACGATCCAACTGGTGGTTTCCTTTCAGGGAATTTCTGGGTTCATTCCCACATTCCCTACTTATCGCACCAGCAAGCGTACTCTTGAAGAGCTAATTTACCAGATGGCCACATGCAAGGCAGGGTAAACAGGCCATTTGTTCAGCCAGGCGACATACTGCACCCCACTCTCCAGCATGACATCCTCAGAGATGCGTGTCGCCGAGCACAACACCCTGCAACACTCGGGGTGTTCCAAGTGATTTTGAAAACATAGGTGATCCGCGTTGCTTCTTTTCTCCGGAACTCCTTGTTCTAGACATCAGAAAAAATCGAAAAGAAATAGCCAAGCAGATGATGTTTCAGCTGGCCAAACCTCCTTTGAAGAAGGGAGAGCGAAGAGAGACTTTCCACGTCCCTTTTCCCCCCCCAAAACAAACATGGTTTTCCTGGTGGTGTTCCTTTAAAACCTTAAAAAGGGTACCAAATCACAAAAGACACACCCATTTTCCCTTCACAGGAGGAAGCCCTTGTGATTCAGAAAGCCCTTGTGGGTGAAGTGGGTTGTTTTTTTCCTTGAGACTGGCCAATCAAAAGGCTCCAACTATATGAGATGTGGTCAACTTGCTCAGCCTATGCTCCATTTCGGATGGACGCCAGAGAATTCACGAAAACAAGCCACAACACTTGGGGGAACAGCTCATGACCTCCGGGGGGCCCGAGTAGTGGGTGGCTATGTCAGGACAATCTCAATCAATCATGACCCAAAAGGAATTGATTCAGTTACCCCATTTTAACACCCCAAACATCATTCTCAATTGAGATCCTAAACTGGGCTGAAGCAAAAACCTGGTGAGCCTCAGTTTGATAGCAGATCTGGGTCAAGTGGTCCGCTCTGGCTTCTCTTAAAGGGACTTCAAAGCAAAGCCAAAATGAATGCGATGTACGGAACCATATACATTCAGCCTTTGACAACGTCCTGGGATTCAAACCATTAAAACAATGGGGGCTCATGTGACCACCATTGTTCGCCTAGGATTGTCATCCAAGTTGGGTCAACCTTTCCTTTACCGGGGGTTGAACCCTAGGCTGGGGCGGGAAACCCCACGTCTATTTCTCACGAGTGGTTCCTCGCGCCCATGCTCAGCCGTGGCCCTAGACCTCGCCCCCATCCCGGCTTGGTAAAGCCCGGGTCACGGGTCTGTGGGTGTGTGTCTTATCAGGTTGGCTTCGGTTTTGCTCGGTTTCCTTTCAACCAGTTCCAAACAGGATGCCTTCAAAAGACGAGCCCCGCATTCTTCCGGCCGTTTTTCCGATTCGCCATTCGCCGAAGGCTCCACCATCCCTCTGCCCTTGTCCAGCGTGCTCAGCGGGTACGGCGACAAGATGTCGCCCCCCACCGTGACGATCAAATTCTCCCGCCGCAGCCCGGACCCGCAATCCTGCGACTCGCGCTCGCGAGCCGCCCAAAATCCGGAGTCACGCCACCACTCGGATGGCGGCTAAGATGTATTCCACGTATGAGCCACTGTTGGCCCCAAAAGACTTGGGAAAACAAGTGAGTCACCTGGTGTTGGTGGAAAATGAATATTCACCACGCCTCGATGGGCGCCCCCAGGCATGGCTTTGTCCGTGTTGAAAAGGTGACATTGGTGCCAAGCCATGGGGTCACACTTGGCAGCGAAATCCACTCAGTAGGTCCTCCCCCCATGTTTGTTTTTGAAAACTATAAAACAATGGTTGATAAACCAACCCCAACTGGTGCGAAATGGAATTTGTCCATCAGCATTTCTAACAATCAAGGATAAACCACCAGTCCCCCTAACAGGTGCAGGATTATGTCATATCCACCGAACTTCCAAACTTGGAAGCTGAATCCCCTTGGGACTACCATTGTTGGGCACTGGGCTGTCCGTTTTCAGATCCCCTGCTAAAAGTTAATAACTTTTAGCGAGTGACATGTGGAAACCCAACTACTAAACTCTTTAAAAAACACTAACAACCTAAGGAACCGGCTGGTTGAACCGCTGTTGGAAAGAGGGTGCAGGAATGTGCATGTTGTAGATTGCCTGGGATCTGCCAAATACCATCCGCCCGCGCCCCAATTTGGCTGGGCACAGGAATGCCATTGGGTGATCTTGCTTCCTGTTGACTACACAGCAGGACCATCCAAAGCCACAGATCTGCAGAATATTCACAACCTTTGCCTTTCAAAAAACAAAAATTGCCAAGAACAGCGAGTTTCATTCCAAAACCTGAAATAGGAATCTCCAAGTAAAGCTACATCAGAGTAAGCTCGTTTTACTCCAAGTGAGCTCGCCCTAAAATTGGCAAACAGATCATACTGCTGATCATACCCTGACTGCTCTGGATTCAAGTTGATCTTGAAACGCTCTCGCTGCGTCTGCAAACAGCTCGTGACTGGACCAAGTGATACGTCACTGAAACAAGGAAGACTCAAAAGGTCGGCAGTCGCCAATGTTGCTAGAAGGAAAATAGGTCAAACATGTTCCAAGAAGATGTTATAAATGACGACTTCGTGGTCCAAATTTGGGGTCCGGACAAAAACAAAATGTCCTAAGTCTGCATCGGCGAAATATATTTAGTCTGTCCGGACATGTAGCACCTGACATAGGCCATGCTAGTGGAAGGGAGGGAACCTCTATCCTAAAACATAGAACTTGGCTGTCCTCGGATCCCCTTCTGAAAATCCACAGCTTGTTTAGTGGAACCTACCACTAAACCAACTAAAAACCTAAGAAACCCCGCATGGCTGCCTCCGATTTGCTTCAGTCCCCTGCAAAAAAATAGTATATTTCCAGTAGTGATAGATTCCCTTTTAAATCAACAGGGGATAAAAAAAAATGGATGGCTAGGAACCCACCCAGAAAACACTCGCGGGCAAGATTTCCAGACAGGCTGTGCAGCCGAAGCGGCGTCCAGGAACTTGCGCAGGCGCGGCCTTGCAACCACGCTCGAAAGGCGATCAAATGGGATCCAGATGGTGGCCTCGTTGTTTTTTGCGGTTGGACCCCCCACAGTGATGCTCTTGCTGGTTTCCCTTTAAAACCCGCAAACAAAAGGGTACCAACTCAAAAACCGACACACTTGAATGGATGTGTTGGGTGACCTTTGGGCAATTTGTGGGTGCCATTTGATACTGTAGCCGTTAGTCGGACCTGCACTGTTGATTGCTGACCTTTTTGGTGGGTTGCTCTTCACGAAAAAACCAAAGGGAAACCCATCCATGCTGGGAAGCTGGCATCCATGTGCAATAGTTCTCTTTGCTTTCTACGTCAGGCCACAACAGACAGGGCTGGGATTTGTAAACCCCTCAAATTGGTTGGTCCCTAAACACACTTTTTGCAGCCATTGGCTCGAAAAAGTGCAAACAAAGTTATTTGCACTGAAGTGGTCAAACCACAAAAGGTAACTCAAGTCCAAGAACTCTGGGAGTGAGTAAAGCCCTCGATGCCCAAGGAGTCCCCCATTTGGAGCTTGGCCCCACAAAATTAAGCGCATACATAAAGAAATCCAGCGATGGCACCGAAAGTTTATGTCGTGTTTTTGAGGGGACCCGTTTTCGGTGCCTTTTTTGACATGGAAACCACACGAAACCGTTTCGTCATGTTTTGGGTCCCCTAGTTTGAGACAAATCAATTCAAAACGAGGTTTTTGTGGATGGTTGCAAAATCCATTTCGCACCTGCGAAACTCCGGAATGATTCTCCTGTAAATACCAACGAAGAATGGCTTCTCATGGTTTCAAAGTGGCGAAATGGATTTCGTCCATCCACAGAATATAATTATGGTTGATCAACTCACCAATCCCAACTGGGGCCGATCGATTCCCGTGGAGTCTTCCTAAACCAGTACCAGTTCCAGGAACGCAGGGAGTGAGAAACACATGCAAACAGCAACACTTCTCGGCAAGCAGAACACATCAGCTGCAAAACTCACATTGTCCAAAAGCTTTAAAGGGATCGAGCAAGGGGTGATTGGCCTTTGTTCTGTCTTATTATTTCGTCGGAAAACATGTAGCTGTTGGGCAAGCTACTACGAGACATAGTTTCTCACCATAGGCCACGTGGTTTCCTCGAGGATCAAGCGTGAAGCTGCTGGGGTAGAGGAAGCTGGGAAACCCTGTTATCAAACAAAAGCAAAACTAAACGCACATTTCTACAGAAAATAGCCAAAACCCTGCTAGGTGGCGGGTATTTGGCGAACATAGCAAGCAGAAATTGCTGGTTCCCTGGTTTCTTAGACCTGACCGCCTTTCTCAGCTTTTGCCACCCACCCAACCAACAATAGTATGACTCGTGTCCATATAGTGAACTTCAAAATGAAGCAAAACTTTAAAACAGCACAGAGTCTAAACTCGTTTGCTTTCTGCTCCCCTGCTAAAAGTTTAAATTTTAGCGGTTTAATTGCAAACCCATTAGTTGGCAAAAAGTTAAAGTCCTAACATCCAAGCAAAATGCACCAAAGTAAAAGTGTTGGGAGCCCAGCGCTTTGCACATTTCGAAGGGGACGAGAAAAAGGCGACAAAACGCAAAGGAAAGTCCCTGGAAGTCAAGGCGCAAGTTGTCCATGACGTAGACATCGTTGATATGTACAAAGCGCATACGCACCACTTCCTCGCCGTCCGTGTCCTCAGGCAAAATGGAATGCCAGTTGCAAGCTGTGACCCTTTTTCAGGAATCGGACTCCCCAAAATTGTGGTGTTCCTTGGTTTTCCCCGTAAACCAACCCCAAAACGGGTACCCACAAAAGAACACGGGGATCTGCGCCTGGAACACCGGATCTCACTCACTTCCATGGACTCGGAAAAAGTCCAGAACAAGTCAAACGACTTGGTGCGTACCGCTTGGATGGTCTGCCCGAGTTAGTAGCCGCTTCGGGGAAAGTGAGCTCTGCCTGCGGAAAGAATGTCTGAGCCCAAACCGGCAAAGGACCGCAACGAAGCAAAAGGGAAAACAGGAGAGCTACTGTGGATGGACGAAATCCTGCACCACCTAAGAATCCCTGGAATGATGATTCCCGCGCAAATACGAACAAACAATGGTTTCCCATGGTTTCAAAGTGGTGCAGGATTTCGTCCATCCACAGTATCTCCATACCAAAGGAGCACCGAAATCAGAGCCTTCCAGGTAACTTTCCGGCGTAATCTGGCCAAAAGGGTCTGCCGGGGCTGCCAAAG